TATAAAAACACAGCAAAGACTGATCTCTATGAAAGTTGTTACAGCTGTAGAAGAACATCTGATCTACAAGATAAAATTATAGCCACTGGCTTCTGATCACTGATCTGTGAGAAAAAGTGTTCGAATATCGATGGTGTGCGATAGTAGGTTGCTGACTCTATCTTGTTTAAGTTGTTTATTCCCTCTCCAAAAGGCAAAAGGTTATTCAGGACCACTCCAGGCACTCTGATGAAATAAGCTGCTACGATTTGTTTAATGTAGACTATGTTTGACATTTTGATGAATGATACATGGTGTGATGTGCATGCATCTCTGCCATGAAAGGTTAGAGTTACCATGATTAAAAGTAGTCTAGAGGTGATCAGTGTTTCTCAATCTCTCACTCCCTAGCTATTTCTCTCCCACACAGGCCCATTTATACTATACTGAATGGTAGTGTTAAGTCATTAATGAGGAAAGAAACTATTTACAAATCATACACAAAATAAAAGTGGCAAAAACAATAATTATTATGAGAGCTACTATAACATTGAAGTACTGCTATGTCAATAGCCAGTCTATAGCTACAAAAATACACTAAAAGCTATTAAAATATTAATAGCAGTCACAATCAGCCGACAATGTCACAGAATCACACAAGACCCACCGCTACTCCCACTGGATGTCTGTTTCCTACAACAGTCTCTTAAACGACATTCCTTTTATACTGCTGATCAAGAGCAATTCTTCTATTAGTAATATCCTTGATGTATTTAACATTAAATGATGTAAAAAGTATTATACACTTACTGTCTCAAGCTGTTGTACTCTTGCTCTTTCTCTTCTATTTGCTTCTGCTTCACTCTCAATTTCTCCTTTCTCCCTTTTATTTATTTCCTCTTGCTCTTTCACCCATTTCTCTCTATCTGCCTTTTTTATATTTTCTTGAAGCTTTTGTGAATATGTCTCATCCACTTTAGGTGCATCTGAAAGTTGCAGTGTGCTGTCTTGTACAGGACATTCCTATACTCAAAAGAAGTCAATTACTAAAAAAACAAAAGTACTGACTTCAATCATACTTCAATCATTATAAGAAACTCCTCATTTTCTGCTGCCATTGCAATCATTTCACTAACCGGATTGGTTAGAGCATCATCTTGTGTTGCTTGAGAGCTGATAAATTGGTGTTTATTTATTTCCCAGAAGAGATTATTTTCCCCAACTCGTAAGGAGCAAGCCTTCCAAAATTCACTAAACCAATCATTACGATCAGGAAGACGATAAGGCTCTTGGTTATCAAATGACAGTCTGCTATCTCCAACTGGCACCATGAGGATCCTTTCCACTATATCTCTTGTTAATCCGACCTCATTTGTGAAAAACTTGTGAAAGCTGTCCTTCCATATCTTTACACGACCTTCAAATCTTTCCTTTTTAAGAACATTCCAGCCCTCTATATCATCAGAATCAGGTTCGGGCCCTGTATCTTTATCTCTTTCATCGCGCCTTGTGACATTTTCAGTGTTAGCAAACGTGAGAACAAGAACAGCATACTTCCAGAAGTTTTGCCCAAATTCTGCTGTTAGCTTTAGAATGGCACGTTTGTCTTCTTCTATTAAACGGTGGTTGGTCATTTTAGTACAATACAATACTAAACTGAGGTTTTGACATTTCTTCTTTATATCTGCTATGTACATGTACTTATCTTCATTTACTGTGGAGTCTTGCAGGCCTGGGGAATCATACACAGTGACAGGTACACCATGGAGCATTGCTTTGTACTCTGCAACTTCTGTTGTGCATCTCTCAGTACCGGCTCCCTCTACAGCAACATGTTTCCCCAGTAGTCCAATGACTAGTGTGGACTTCCCTTCTCCTGTCTTTCCTGTCACTAGTAGCCGCAACTCTTTGTGATCATCTTTTGCCAAAGCTGCCTTTACAAATGATTCAACTTTTGAAAATCTTGACACGGTTGCCATCTGTTTGCACAGTTTGACCTGAATGACCTCTATATACCGGTGTATATTATATATATATATATATAATAATATGGTAGTGGCACCACTAACTGATAATGGTACCACCCATGCAGAAGATCCACAGTGAGGTGGTACCACCACTGATTCATGTGGTGTGATACGATAGGTGCAGGTGTTATAAACGATTCATGAATAATTCCCTTTGATGCTAATGAGAAACACGACTCTATGAGGAACATACGGTGCATAGTATTAACCTGTGATTAAAATAAATGGAAACATTGAAATTTTATTATAGACTACAATATGTAACTGGGATGAAATCAAGATTGGAAACTGATGACGTCATTCGTACTGACTGTGTGATCATGCAGTTATCTGCAAATAAGTGGCAGTATTGATGGGCATGTGCTTTTAGCTAAATTATATAAGATAAATTTTAGTATTGTGTTTCTATGCTTATTTTTTTTGGGAGAGGTACAATTTGGATAATAAATTTACATAATAAATGGAATATAAGTATACAATATTCATTAGAGAAGAGAAAAATTTAAATCAATAGTAAAATACAGGGCAACAGTATAATACAAACCTTTCATCTCAACACAACCCAATAAAGAAATAAGAATATCAAACTATTCTTCCACATTCCAAGCAATTATTAACCAGTTCGTGTTTCTGTCCCAGACACTGACATAAGAACCTCCCGGGGAACTTTATACTCAACTGGGACTCACCCTCTGCACTTAGCAATGGAACAAACTTAGTCTTTGAAGCCCCTCCCTCCTTTTAAACCATTTCACTTCTTTTATGAGTAGAGGTATTCTGTGGTGGGTGTATACCAAATCCAGGGGAAGGGGCTGTGGCTTTAGGAGCTTCTTTAACATCCTAAAATTATTATAATCATATCAAAATTCCTGAGACATGTTTAAAAACCTTTTTAGATTTCTTTGTTGTCTTCTTTGGTTCAAAAAGAAGAAGTTCTTCTTTTTCCTGTCGAGAGTGTGCTACTATCATTTCCACATTGCCATGGTGACGTCTCTCCTCCACTATGGCTGTCCAGCGGAGCAGAAACTCTCGTATAAAATCCTGATCAGACTTTTTACCTAAAAGACCCTCCAGGTAGTCTTCTACTTCAGCCTTAGTATCTATAGCAACTAGATACCTGTGGAATAATTTTAAAATTCATAAAAACACAATTAATCATAAAATACAACATCAATAAAATATTAGTATTATTATTATGGAAGCTAAAGCCAACTTGATGGATTGCCAACAAAAATTGCTGACACCCAAACCAAACAAAAAATTTTTTTTTAATAAAATAAAATATAACTACAAAAATGATAAGTAAAAGAGGAAGGAGCACTAACAGAAAAAATGATAAGACGAACAAGGACACAAAACATGAATTATTATATTAAAATTAACTAAAAAATGATTCCAAAAAATAAATAAGGTTACTCTTAATAACTGGAAATCAATATAAGGTAATTTATTTGAAAGTCATACAAGTCTAGGAAAATAAGAATGATGCAAACGATTAGAGGATAGTGGGAGAAATTGATTATCTACCACAATTGTGGTAAATCTGGGTGAATTGTTAAATGAACAGAAGTGGACCAAGTATGCTGCCCTGAAGCACCACAAAACAAACTGGAAGCCAGTTAGTAGTCTCGCGTAGCCAGACCCATCCCCCTTTTTGACATTTGGATGGCAGGGTCCAAATGTCAAAAAGGGAGATGGGTCTAGCTATGCGATATCGAGACTAGCCAGTTAGATGTATGACCTCTCACTCTCACACATTATTGTATATCAGATAAATAGGAGCAAAACAATAACCACAATGATCCAGTTATACTGGCATCCCAAAAGATATATTTGGCAGTATAACTAAAATCAAAATGATGAATTGGAGCATGCAGGTTAAACCATAAAAATTAGGCTAAATAATCAACTGCAAATATGCATACAGCTCAAATCAATATTAGTGACTGAATAATTCTACACAATACTGCTCTAGTTTATTAACTAACTCTACTACTCCTTTATCAACTGGCAGCTGCAGTTGACTGGATAATCCTTCAGCTAACCATCTCTTTAGATCAGACTCCATTATTAATCTAGCCACACCTACAGCTATCTTGTTTATTCCCTCTCCAAAAGGCAAAAGGTTATTCAGGACCACCGACCATTCCAGGCACTCTGATGAAATAAGCTGCTACGATTTGTTTAATTTTTTTTACAACAAGAAAAATAGCGCAATTGCTAATAGACAACATAAATAAAGAAATAAAATATTTAATGGAGTTATAAATTACAAGTTACAATGAACATACAGTTTTATATAGGAGAGAGAGGAGGAGAGTTTGATAGAATAGGGCAGAGAGTTCCAGAGTATGTAGACTATGTTTGACATTTTGATGAATGATACATGGTGTGATGTGCATGCATGCATCTCTGCCATGAAAGGTTAGAGTTACCATGATTAAAAGTAGTGTAGAGGTGATCAGTGTTTCTCAATCTCTCACTCCCTAGCTATTTCTCTCCCACACAGGCCCATTTATACTATACTGAATGGTAGTGTTAAGTCATTAATGATGAAAGAAATTTTAAACAAATCATGCACAAAATAAAAGTGGCAAAAACAATAATTATTATGAGAGCTACTATAACATTGAAGTACTGCTATGTCAATAGCCAGTCTATAGCTACAAAAATACACTAACAGCTATTATAATATTAAATACACTAACAGCTATTATAATATTAAATACACTAACAGCTATTATAATATTAAATACACTAACAGCTATTAAAATATTAATAGCAGTCACAATCAGCCGACAATGTCACAGAATCACACACCCACCGCCACCGCCACCGCCACCGCCACCACCACCCCCACCAGATGTCTGATGTGTCCTTCTATAAGACTCTTCGAGGAGTTTCCTTTTATACTCCTGATCAAGAGCAATTCTTCTATTAGTAATATCCTTGATGTATTTAAAATTAAATGATGTAAAAAGTATTATACACTTACTGTCTCAAGCTGTTGTACTCTTGCTCTTTCTCTTCTAATTGCTTCTGCTTCACTCTCAATTTTTCCTTTCTCCCTTTTATTTATTTCCTCTTGCTCTTTCACCCATTTCTCTCTATCTGCCTTTTTTATATTTTCTCGAAGTTTTTGTGAATATGTCTCATCCACTTCATGTCCATCTGAAAGTTGCAGTGTGCTGTCTTGTACAGGAGATTCCTATACTTAAAAAGTCAATTAATAAAAAAACAAAACAAAAGTACTGACTTCAATCATTTTAAAAAACTCCTCATTTTCTGCTGCCATTGCAATCATTTCACTAACCAGATCGGTTAGAGCATCATCTTGTGTTGCTTGAGAGCTGATAAATCGGTGTTTATTTATTTCCCAGAAGAGATTAATTTCCCTAACTCGTAAGGAGCAAGCCTTCCAGAATTCATTAAACCAATCGTCACGATCAGAAAGACGATAAGGCTCTTGGTTATCAAATGACTTTCTGCTATCTCCAACTGGCACCACGAGGATCCTTTCCACTATATCTTTCCTTACTCCGACCTCATCTATGAAAAACTTGTGAAAGCTGTCCTTCCATATCTTTACACGACCTTCAAATCTTTCCTTTTTAAGAACATTCCAGCTCTCTGTATCATCAAAATCAGGCTCGGGCCCTGTATCTTTATCTCTTTCATCGCGCCTTGTGACATTTTCAGTGTTAGCAAATGTAAGAACAAGAACAGCATACTTCCAGAAGTTTTGTCCAAATTCTGCTGTTAGCTTTACAATGGCACGTTTGTCTTCCTCTTTTAAGCGGTTGTTGGTCATTTTAGTACAATACAATACTAAACTGAGGTTTTGACATTTCTTCTTCATATCTGCTAAGTACTTATCTTCATTTTCTGTGGAGTCTTGCAGGCCTGGGGAATCATACACAGTGACAGGTACACCATGGAGCATTGCTTTGTGCTCTGCAACTTCTGTTGTGCATCTCTCAGTACCAGCTCCCTCTACAGCAACATGTTTCCCCAGGATTCCATTGACTAGTGTGGACTTCCCTTCTCCTGTCTTTCCTGTCACTAGTAGTCGCAACTCTTTGTGATCATCTCTTGCCAAAGCTGCCTTTACAAATGATTCAACTTTTGAAAATCTTGACACGGTCGCCATCTGTTGGCACAGCTTGGCCTGAATGACCTCTATACACCGGTGTATATTATATATATATATAATATGGTAGTGGCACCACTAACTGATAATGGTACCACCCATGCAGAAGATCTACAGTGAGGTGGTACCACCACTGATTATGTGGTGTGATACGATAGGTGTAGGTGTTATAAACGATTCATGAATAATTCCCTTTGATGCTAATGAGAAACACGACTCTATGAGGAACATACGGTGCATAGTATTAACCTGTGATTAAAATAAATGGAAACATTGAAATTTTTATTATAGACAATGATACGTAACTGGGATGAAATCAAGATTAGAAACTGATGACGTCATTTGTACTGACTGCCATTATGTGCAATTAAGTGGCAGTATTGATGGGGATGTACTTTAAGGCCTCCATACACTAGGCAACATGTTGCTTGCAATGCATTTGTGGTTACTTTGATCATGTAAG